CGCGCGACTCTCCCTTTTTAATTTCATCCCCCGCGGACGCCTGGGTGCCGCGTACGGACGCTTTAAAAAAAAATATGCAAATTTTTTGGTAGGAAAGCGATCTCGGGAACCACATGAGCTGAGGGGCTGAAACTTTGTAGGGATATTCCCTGTGCATATAGTAGCTAAAAGTTTCAAATTCAGCCCCCGATTGTGCATGGTACTCACTTAAGAGCGTATGAAAGTTTTAGGGGGGAAATTGCTAATTCGGGTAGCAGGAAAACTGCACTTTTGGGAGAATGTTCCCTATCCAAGTACAACTCAAATATTTTAACTTCAGCCCTTAAGCTATGCGTGGTACTCACGTAAGGGCGCATGAAAGTTTTAGCAGGAGAATTACTAACTTGGCAACCAGAAGAGCTGGAAGGCTGAAATTTGAAGGGGATGTTCACTTGCAATTTAGAAATTTGAAATCCAGCTTTCCAAGCACGCTGAGTACCCACGTACGAGCATGTGAAGGTTTTGGCGGAAAATTGCCTACTCGGTAACCAGAAAAGCTGAAAAGCTAAAATTTTGGGGGAATGTTCCCTCTTTAAGTACAACTTAAGTATTTCAGATTCAGCTTGAGGTATGCGTTGTTCTTACATACGGTCATTTAAAAGTCTTGGCGGAAAAATTTCTCATTGAACAACTGGGTTACTTTTAAGGAGCAACTGTTAAATGGAAATTGTACATTTATTTTGCAAAATTTATGGTGGTTTATGCTAGTGACCGCAAAAGGTAGGTGTAAAGCAACAGCCATTCATACAGTTAATAACCTGAGCATTTCCAGTTCGGTGCAAAAACGCATGATCGCACGGGCCCGCCCGGTGCGTTCCAGCCTGGGTTTGAAAATGACTAAGCTGTTCAGTGAGCAATTTTCCCGCCAAAAATTTAAGTACCCGTACACGTGAACAGCGCATGCCTGGGGGCTGAATTTGTTTAAGTTGTACATGGGCTGGGAACATCCCCTGAAAAGTTCAGCCTCCCAGCTTTGCTAGTTTTCG